TATTAGTTTAGAAAATAAAAAAATATAACTAATTTTCTCGTATAATATTAAAAATCTTTGAATTAATATGAATGAATCAAAAGGATGTAATCAATTCAGACTCTTAAACTCTTACCTGTAATGCTTCTCAAAACCAATGTGAAACACTGGTATTGACCTTATGTATAAATATATGTGCACCATTGGGATATACCAAGCTTTGTAGAGACTAGCCAAAAACCATCATTGCCTTCTACTAAAACTAAGGTTAATCGCATCACCTCCCCCCACTTGATCCTTGAGTAGAATAATAGTATTGAATGTAAAATTAGATGTGATAGTATTGGTGATGATGATGGTGCGAGTTAGCAATGTAGATGATGGATGGTGCGAGTTAGATGATGGCGCAAGGTAGATAATGGTAATATTAATTTCTGTGGAATGCCACTGTGAAATGATTAGGTTGATCTCCATTGTTGTTGTACATACATATAAATAAAAATATCACATATGGGGTTTGTACTAGGAAAATCAAGCTTCGAGGTCCCAAAACCAAAATGGATATTTTTGATGCAATTCAATCTATTACACAAGGATTATAAATGATTAAAGTTTCAGAGGGTGTTAACTTAATAAAACCTTGTACAATGGGGTTTTCTTTTTTATATTAAAATTTTCTTTAGACGAATTTAGAAATGATCACCATTTTGCGCACACCTTCAAATTAAAGAAAAAAAATTTATTATTTTTATAGATTTGGATTCGGATTTGAACAATAAATATCCTTATATGGTTCATCAACATGTTGACGAATTTTTGTATATAAATATTTTTTTCTTTATTCTGATGGTGGTGATACTGAAAAAACCTCTAGAGGATCATGTGGATTAAAATTATTTTTTAAAAGAGAAAAAGAATATTCAACTCCATTTGATTCTTTTGAAACATGAACTTTTCCAATATCATTTTTTGTAAACCGAAATTGATAATATTGTCTGATTTGAGGTAAAGGGTTAAAATGATCTTTTAAAAGTGTGTTAAAATCATACCATATCCAACCCAATCCATTATCATATCTAATTGCTTCATTACCTTCAGATGAAATATTAACAATGTGTTCAATATCATCAACAGTGTTTACATGATGATTTCTATACACTTTTTTAATTTGACCAAAAAATGAGTCACAGATAAACTTGGTATGTCCAGGAATCATAAAATTAACCATAATTTCATCAAACCAACCAGACATTATCAACCACAACCAAAACCAAATAGTTAGGTTGTTCTTATTTTGTGCAGTACAATTATCACAAGTAATTTGTAAATTTTTTACACCATCTATGGAAAATTTTTTAAGAGAATTAAACACCATATTTAATGTTGTATTAGCACCTTTAGAAACCCCACAAGGAAATTCATTTTCAGCAATTATAAAATTTAGTTGATGATTTTTTTCTCCTGTTTTACAAACACCAAAAATATTTACAGCAAATGGTATTTTAAAATAAATTGATCCAACTTGTTGAGGAGAATATGGGATGCCAACATTCTGAGCCCAATCATAACAGATATGCAGGAATGATGAATTAGTTTTACTTTTTTCTATATTATTATTATAATGCATACGTTCATGATTTGCACATTCACGGTGTCCCTCATATTCTTTTTTTGTTTTTTCATAATTTTCAACATCAGATTTTGCAACTGCCATTTCTGCTTTAAACATTTCACATTTATCACAAAGATCACTTGCTGGAGGTTGAAATTTAAGATATGGGATCAATTCTTGCCATAATCTTCGAAAAGTTTGGTAAGAAATTATTTGTTTAGTTTCATGTTCAGCATGAAAATGGATTTTAAATTCATTATATACTGAAACATATGTTTTTCCTGTTGGAAGATATATGAAAGCATCAGAATCATCAAAATGACGCATTGGTGATGGCAATCCAAATATATCTGCATATTGTAACAAGTATTGTTTAACCATTGATCCAACTTCTAAGTCAACTTGGGCACGGGATTTGATTTTAGGTATACGTCCAGTATTTTTATGAAGTCGTTCTGATAATCCATTAATTTGTAAATCAACTTGCAAGGTTTTAAGCATATATTCAGTGATTCCACATAATTTTATATATGCTGGGTAACATAAGGGTAAATGATGCATAAAATTATATCAATAATTATGTCTACCTTCTGATTGAATACTAGTTGTTTCAAAAGACATCAATTGAGCTTTTATGAATGATTCAAGTGCATCTTTTTCTAATGCACGTAGTTGAAGATGTCTTTCAAAAAACTGCTTAAATCCTACTTTTTCATAACAGGTTCTTAAATCATTTTTTGTAGCTCTTGTAGTTTTACAATGACAATTATTTTCTTGAAAGAATGTCATTAAATCATCTATGGTATCAAGAACTAATTCATTTTCTTCATAATCTTCTAAGCCTAATTCTATAAAATTATA